AAGTGAGAGGTGATATTATTCAATTAAGTCCCGTGAAAAGCTGACCTGAAACAGAAATGCCCATACCTGTTTCGCCACCTGTCCACTTGTCGGTAAGCTGAGCCTCTGCATTTCCCCTTCAGTGCAGGGCAGGTATTTATTCAAGCCTTTTGAGGAAAAAAAAGTACTTGAGAGACTTAGCAAAGAAGTGAGAGCAACTCAGCAGCTTTAAAAAATAACAAGAATCTCAGTTTCATTCTCTGCTTCTCGGAAAACTCACTGCTCTTCATTTATTTTTTCAAGTTACCCTTGCCATTCTTTTCTTTTCTTCATGACATAATAATCAAGCAGCGTGCTGTTAACAGCTCTGCTTATAATTGTTGACTTAAAATGTCTTGTAAGCCGTGAGTAGGACCTGCACTCCCCACCTCTGCCTACCACGAAAAGCGGATTCCCCTACGAGATGCAGTAATGTGCCTGGGACATTGCAGATGGAGCCCCCAGCGTTCAGGTCCATGGCAGTCCCTGGCTCTCTTCTTCCCATTATTCGCATGCTGTACACCTGTGACAAGTTGGCAATTTCTGAGTGATAATGCAGAAATTTGCAAATTCCAGTTTGTCCCTCTGCTAAGCAGAGCTGTGCTAGATTTTGCTAAATAAAGAAACAAACAGCTCTCTCAGCCAAGAATCTCAGACAACGTATTGGCGGGGGTGGGGGTGGAAGCTGTGAACCTTAGAAACAGCTGGGAGTAAGTGACGCTCTCCAACTTTGACAAACTTGCCATAGAAACTTCAAGACACTGTGGTCTGACTTACATGTGCATTTTCAGTTAAGTTTAAGTTCCCGGGTCTTTGGACAGAATAATGAATTTTTAAAATATAATTTTAAACCATTCTAACTAGACAACATGTACATTTCTTACAAGGAGCAAACAGTTGTTCTAAGCATTGTAACTCTTAAAGATAAACAAGAAAGCATTAGTAAATTCTGTTCCTCCTTCTGGGAAGGGGTACTCAATCATTTTTCACTTGTAAGGATCAAAGAGAGTTGAGTATATTATTTACCCCTTATTGTTTTGTTAGGAGGACATGTAGAAATAAAAACAAATGACTGAGAAGCCAACTTGCTCAAGGTTGACACCCATGCCCAGGATATCTTTAGGGAAGACACAAATATGACCAATAATCTCCATCTAGAGGTAAGAGACTTTGTGAGTATGAATGTGTTTGATGTCCCTCTGCTCACCACTGTGTTCCTAGTGCCTAAAAAGCTGGCACTTATGAGATGCTTAATACCTATTTGCTAAATGGATCAGTGAATGATTGAGTTATGAATTTAGTGGTTACATAAAGGAAGTGAACTTCACACAGAAAACTATTTATCTGTTAATGTCACTAGAGTCAAAGATTAATAAAATTTATTTTACGTAAGTTTTTCCCTCTAAGTTCTATCAGATTAATGAAATTTATTTCATGTGTTTTCCTCTACATTCTGTCAGATTAATGAACTTTGTTTCATGTAAGTTTATTTCCCCCTAAATTCTATCAGAGGCACATTTTGAGTGCCTTCATTGTGAGAAGAAATAAACTAAGCATTGCTGATAGTGAGATAAATAAAGAGTCTGGGAGGCAGTAGGTGATTATGGAAGTGGTATATATTTTGAAAGAGGAAGAAGCAAAGCAATACCATTTACTAGCTTAGTGAACTTGGGCAAATTACCTACAATCCCTGAGCTTTAGTTGCCTCTTCTGTAAAATGGGGAGAAATAATTGTAGCATAAGACTATTTTGTGATGATTGAATGAGATTAGGCAATGTCAAGTTCCTGGTACATGGTAAATGCTCACTGAGTGTTGGTCTTTTTGTTTCCCTGCTCCTTTAGACCTTGCAATCTAATTCTACTATTTTAGATGAATACACTAAATATAACCCAAAGGGGGAAAATCTTGGAAGATTTAAAGAGGAACACAGAATTACTTCTTTTGTAAAGAAAAAATGCATGAAAGAATGACTCCTTTTGTTCTTTTTGTCCTGCCTCTTGCCTGTGCTCATGTTGTTCTACCTGTCTGGAACACCTTCCTTTCTTTTATTCAATTATCTAAATTTTATTCTATCATCTAATTTCTAAGCCATCAGACCTTAGGAACAGGGCTTCAGAGCTTACAAATGGGCTCTTGCATTGTTTGGTGAACCTTAAAACATAAATATTTTCTGTTTTATGGTACTCTATCAGTTGTCTTTTGCTGCATAAAAAATAGCCTCAAACTTTAGTATCTTGAAATAACAGCAATTTATTGCTTCCCACAGTCAGTGGTTTGGCTGGATGGCATCCTTTCTTGTTTAGCCTGGATTCACTCATGTGAATGCAGTTAGCTGGAGAGTTGGCTGGGCTGAAATTTCCAAGAAGACCTCACTCACTTCTTAATGCTGTTTTCTACAGTACTTTCATTCTCCTTCATGTGGCTTTTATCTTCTGGTAGACAAGGCTGGTTTCCTTCTATGGTGGTATGAAGGCAGGTCTCCAACTGGGTAAACATGGAAGCTGCATGGTCTTTTAAGGATAAGCCTCCACAACTTGCACAAAGTTGTTTCTACCATGTTCTATTAGACATAGCAAGTTACAAGACCAACCCAGATTCAAAGGGGTAGAAAAATAAATTTTACTTCTGGATAGGAGGCATGCCAATGTCACATTGCCGAAGGTTGTACATATTGGAATGGAAAGTAATCCTGGTCATTAAATAATCATCTTCAGGCGCTTTTTTGCTATTATAGCTATACCTCTTTTGCTATTGGGTATTTGTGTCTAAGTTCTCTTTGGATTGTTTTTTTCCCTCTGATCTGCTTTTGAAGGCCTGCCCTTATTAATTGTCTAGTTTCAAAGACCTCTGTAGTCACCAAGTTCCTATTCTGAGGTTTTGCCTTAGAGTCATTAAAGTACTCTTCTAAACAGAGGATTGTCAAATCTTGTTTCATACTTTCTTCTTTTATTATGCAATATCCACAAGAAGAAGGAACAGTAGAGAATTATTTTCATGGTAGGAAGTGTGCCACCTATTTTAGAAAGGAGAAAGATAAAAGTTAAGTACTATTGGTTTCAAATGATAATTTAAAACATACTCAGCAAACCACCATGGCACACATTTTCCTGTGTAACAAACCCGTATGTCCTGCACATGTATCCCAGAATTTAATAAAATAAAATAAAACAGTATAGACCCAACAAAATATACATAGAATGTATATGTAGAAAACTCTAAAAATCTAAGGAAAGAATCAAAACAATTTTAAATAAATGAAGAAATATTCCATCTTCATGGATTGGAATACTCAATATTGTTAAAATGTCAATTTCCCAACTTTCTGTAGAGTCAATATAATCCCAATGAAAATCTCAACAAGATAATTTGAGGATATCAACAAAGTTACTCTAAAATTTTTATGGAAAGGTAAAATATCAAAATAGCCAACATAATACTGAAGAAGAACACAGCTGAATGAGTAACAATACTCATTGAAACTTACTAAAAAATTGCAGTAATCAAGACAGGCTAAGATATCAAAATAATAGGCAAAAATCAATGGAACAGAATAGAAAGCTCATAAATAGACCAACACAATATCTTTGATAAAGGAAAACTGGCAATTCAATGAAGAGATGATAGTCTTTTCAATAAATGTTGCTAGAACAATTGTATGCCCATATGCAAAAGAAAAAAATCTAGACATAGACCTCACACCTTCATAAAAGCTCAAAATCAATCATAATCCTACATATAAGACACAATATTGTAAAATCTCTAGAAAAAATGTAGGAGGCAATCTATATGACTTTAGGTTTGACAAGGAGTTTTTAGGTACAATACCAAAAGCATAATCTATGAAAGAAAAAAAATGATAAAATACGCCTTTTGATTTTTTTGCTCTGATATGACATTGTTAAGAGAACAAAAAGGCAAGTCACACTCTGGGAGGAAATATTTTCAAAAGAGGAAATATTTTCAAAACAAATATTTGATAAAGCAGTTGTATTCATAATACACAAAGAACTCTTAACAATAAGAAAATAACCCAAAAAAGAAATGGGCAAAATATCTGAAGAGATATCTCACCAAGGAAGATATACAGATGTCAAATAATCATATAAGAATGCTCAATATCTTTTGTTATGAGGAAATTAGATGCTAAATTTTGTCAAATGATTTTTCTTTATCTATTTTAATAATCATTTTTGTCTGTTATTATGATGGATTATATTGATTAGCTTTTGAATGTTGAACCAGTTCTTCATTAGTGAGATAGACCCTATTAAGTCATGATGTATTAATATTGTTTCATGTACTGCTGTATTTTTTGTCTAATATTTTGTTGAATATTTGTATGTCCATGTGTAAGAGGGATATTGGTTTTCAATTTCTTGTTTCTTGTATTACATTTATCTGGCTTTTTTGTAACAAAATGACAAAATATTTCCTTTTCTATTTTCTGAAAAACAAATTGTATAAAGCTTATATATTTCTTAAAATTTTGGCAGACTTCGTCAGTGAAGCAATTTGGTCCTAGAATTTTTTGCTACAAAGGTTTAATTATGAATAATGTTCTTTAGCTCATATAAAGCTATTCAAGTTATCTATTTCTTCTTGAATAAATTTTGTAGTTTCCGTCTTTTTAAGTACTGGGTCCATTTCATTTAAGTTGCCAAATGTATAGGCACACAAATGTTTTTATTATTTTCTTATTATTTCAGATTTCCTTCTATTTTATTTTCTGAGGGTCTGAAATGATATCCCCCTTTTATGCTTGATATTGAAAATTGGTATATCCTCACTTTTTTCTTGGTCAGTCCATCCAGATATTTTTGAATTCTATTCATCTTTTCAAGGAACCAGCTTTTGGTTTCGTTTATTTTCTCTATTTCTTTTCTTTTTATTAATTTCAGTTATTTTTTATTGTTCCTTTTCTTTTTCTTGTGCTTTAATTTGTTTCTCTTTTTCTGGCTTATTTTATTTTATTTTATTTAGCACTCAATAATTAATCTTTTAATGCAACAATGTACGAAGTGCATGCAATTACTACCTGCTCAATCTACACACTTAGTCTTAATGGAAGTTTACAAGAATTTCATTGACTGGGTTTTCTTCCTCCTTAACCAAGTTGAGAACACTGGTAGCCCCCTGAAGGTATAACCTCCCGTTCTAGTCCCCTTAACTGACTGACTTAAACTTGATCCACTGATTGGCACCACGAACTTCAAAAGGTGGGTCGCTGGAGTAGATGCGGTAGCCCAGCTCCTCCAAAGGTGGCTCAGGATCGGCCGTGGCAAACTGGGCAGCATCCTCAATCTCCTTCTTCACTTCCACATCAATTTCCTTTAGTTCTTCCACACTGGCAAGATTGCTGTTCACCATTCTGTCCTTGAGAAGCATAATAGGGTCACTCTTACTTCTTACTTCCTGAATTTCTTCTCGTGTACGGTAACTGACTCCAGGATCACTCATACTGTGTCCGTGGTAACGATAAGTCTGCAGCTCCATCAGGATGGGCCCCCTCCCAGATCTACAATAGGCAGCAGCAAACCTTGTCGCCTCTCGGACGCACAGGATATCCATTCCATCCACTCTCAGCCCAGGAATGAAATCACCTCTCTTATAGTAATCAGTGCTGGCTGCTGCTCTCTCAAAAGATGTTCCCATTCCATAGCGATTATTCTCACAGATGAAAATACAAGGTAATTTCCACAAAGCTGCCATGTTGTAAGCTTCGAATATCTGGCCCTGGTTAGCAGCACCATCGCCGTATAAAGTCAGCAGACCTCATCTTTTCCATTATACTTACAGGCTAGAGCAATCCCAGCGCCCAGGGGCACCTGCGCTTCCATGATGCCATTGCCCCCGTAGAAGTTCTTGGCATATATGTGCATCGATCCTCCTTTCCCTTTAGCACAACCTCCTTTTCGTCCTGTAAGCTCTGCGAGAATTTCTCGGACGGAAAGGCCTCTGGTGAAGGTAAAGCCGTGAGCCCGGTAGGCTGTTATGAGATGGTCTGTGGGGTTGATGCCGGCTTCCAGGCCCACACAGCAAGCTTCCTGACCATCACACAAGTGACAGAAACCACGAATCATTTTCTGTTTATACAGCTGATCTGCTTTCAACTCCATTCGGCGCACAGTCTGCATCATCCTGTAGTATTTGAGCCCATCCTCCCTGGTGAGCACTGTTGTGACAGGAGGGCCTTCTTCCAGTCGGTGAAGGTCACATTTCTTAATTTCAAATGTAGCATCATTTGCAAAATTACGGGATGCTACCAGCACTCTGCTTGCTGGCTTCTGAGAAGAGCCGGACAACACGCTGGAGACGGCGGCGAGCATCTTCCTCATGAAGCACAGGCACTGGCGGCAGCGGCGACTCCTCCTAGCTTCTTAAGTTGAAGACTTAGATCATTAGTTTGAGATCATTCTATATTTCTAGCATAAACATTTAATGCTATAGATTTTCCTCTAGGCACTATTTTAGCTTCATTCCGCAAATTTATCTTCATTCTCATCAATTTCATTCGGTTCAAAATATTTTATCGTCTACTCCAGACTTTTTCTTTAACCTGTGTCTGTTTAGAAGTATGCTATTTAATTTGCAAATATTTTGGTACTTTTCCAATATCTTTTTAGTTTTGATTTCCACTATGATCGTATAAGATATTTTGTATTATTTCTATTTTTAAAATGTGTTATACTTTGCTATAAGAGCCATGATATAGTTCATCTAGGTTATTATTTATGTGGATTTAATAAGAATATGTATTAGCTGTTGCTAGATATAGCGTTCAACAAATATCAATTACGTAAAATTATTTGATAGTGTTGTTCAGATCTTGTATATCCGTGCTGGTCTCCTATCTACTTATTTGTTGATAATTCAAAGAAGAGTGCTAAAGTCTCCAAGTATATTCGTGAATTTGTCTATTTCTATTCCTTTAAGTCTTATTATTTATTCTTCTTTTGAGAATTTGTCGTATTTTTCTAGTTATTTATTTTTCTAATAATTTTGGGTTATATCCTGGATATTTTAAATATTACCTTGAGAGACTCTGGGTGCCGTTAAAACCTTCTGTTGAATGTCAAATTTTTAATTTATCAAACCATCAACCCAGTTAGGTTAAAACTAAAAAATTATTTCTTGCCTTCTGTGTGTGGTATTTCCAATGTCAGCTATAGTTTCAAAGTCTTTGTCATATTGTTTTGGCTGTTTTGCATATATATCTCAGAGGTAATTCTGGGACTTGGGTGGTGGTTTATATTACAGTTCAATTCCCGAAGCCTTTACTATGCTGATTCATGTTAATGCCTATTACTCACACACACAGCTTAGGAGTGAGCCCAGGACTTGTGTCAGTTCGTATATAAAGTGGGGGTCATCTCCAGCTTTCTTCTTTCTGAGATTTCTCATAATACTCTCTAGTATCAGGGAGTTCTTTTCTCCTTAGAGTTTTTACTGCCTCATGTTCAGGTAAAGTATTTATCTCTATTATGGTCATTCTTCAAGTTTGACTCTCTCTCTAGTTTGTCTGCTATTGCTAGCTTTTCAGAGTTTTCAGATAGTTGCCTTTTAAATATTGTCCAGTTTTTAGTTGAAATCAGTGGGAGTGATAGGTATAATGGGCTTACTCTATTTCGGCCAGAATCATGAAGTGTAAACCTGGGTTTCAATAAATTACAATAACATATTGCACTTATCAAATAGTTATTGACAGTCTGAGGATTTTTTTGTGACATGAATTGCTTAAAAAAAATGTATATGACATGTATCAAGAAGTTGGTCTCCAACATGATGTCTGTGTATGCTGACATTTAATAACTGTCTTAATGAAAGACTAGAGATGACTAGAAAGACTGCCACCTAGCAGGATGAATGAATGTATTTTTCATTATAAATAGGTCTTGATAATTAAAAGTAATCTACAAATACATTAATAAAAATGTTTACATCACAGAAAACATTCTGTTAAAGGTTTAAGTATTAAGTTAATTTAAGAAAAAAGAAACCTAAAGTAGACTTTGACCTTCTCAGACACATATGTTATGTAAAATACATTTTATTTCAATTAAAGGCTATTTTCATTTTAATTGTCAATCATATCCTGGTAAACCTACACAATTATTGATCTTAATTGTGGAAGGCTTGAGATATTGATGATGCTGGATAATTTGTTTGCTTGCTGGCTTTGTAAGTGGTACCACCATGAAGCGGCACAATGTGCTTCTGACTTTGAAAGGTCACCACAGTTCTAGAATCTGTTGTTCAGCCTTATAAGCTTTAAATGTTTACATTATCAACACAGAAATAATGAATCTGTCTCTGGGGAACAGGGTTGCGTCAGCCAAGCTCAGAGTCTGATAAAGAAACCAGAATGATCAGTTTTCAATGAGAATAATAGCTGTCACAAGAATCAGAGTATTTCTAGTGGCTTGAATGACCCACCCTTTTCCTAAAGGCAGATCTAAAAAGGAACCACCACAATGAGAAGATGTGCAGTTATGCAGATGTGCAAGAGTATATTGACTTGAATATTTAGTAGTGGTATAGATAAATTCTTGCCCCCTTACCTAATAACTGTGAGATCTTGGGCACATCATTTTAACAATGTTGAGAGGGTGGTTTCTTGTTGTCCTTGAATTATTTAGAGATTAAAAAAGTGAGAAGTCCAGGATCTCACACTCTTAATCAAACAGTACAAATAATTGTGAGGAACAAATCCTACCACTGCTATAGTGAATTAACAGTATGCCCTCCATGTGAGCAATCAACTGCTAGCCATTTCCCTTCAAATATGAAACAAAAAAAGTGAGATATTTAGAAAAAAATTCGCTCTTCATTGTGCCCAACAACAAAGGAGACAGACCTTAGAAGAATGAAGCGTGGAAGACATAAAAAAGGAGGAAACACCAACCACCCCTTAACCCCGCCCCACAAATGTACACAAATAAACATGCAGATATAAACCATCATTAAACTCATACAGTTTGGTTTATGGTAGAGAGGGGGAGATTCCTGAATCTGGTATGAAACTGCTATTTCAGCCTAAACTGGACGATTTTAATAAGTAAAATTAACCAGCAAGGTTTAGAATCTGATTGATACATCATGAAAATACTTGCTACCTTTCAGAGTTGTGTTTGGGAAAATTAAACCAGTTCATGTTCATGCCTAAGAGAATTCTTAGTAAATGGCTACAATTTTCTAAGATGGGGAATAATTGTACGGTTTTTTTTGTTTTGTTTTGTTTTGTTTTTAAATATGGTTAAGGTGATAAGTCAATCAGGCTGGGATTAAAAAGCCCTTAGCCAAGTGCACAGTGTGTAGTAAGCTGTTACAGTATCCTCCCGTGCTGAGAATGTAGGTCCACCCACACACCCAGGACAGTGCTTGCTTAGATACTGCCAATAATTGTTTCAGACTCTCTCTCACACTCTATGTCTAACAAGAACAGCTTCCATTCTGAGTGACATATTTTCCTTTATGTATGCTAGTATCTTCAAAATATGGTCCACTCATAGAGACTATCTGTTACCCTTAGGTTGATTTCATATAACCTCATTGTAAGTTGATTATATATTTTAAATCCAAGAAAACAACCTTTTAAAAATCTTTCTCTTTTAACCAGGTCTAAGTGAATGAAAAAACCAGGGTATGTCAGCATAATGATGGTGTATATAATAAGGGCTATAAATAAATCAAGCTTACAAAATACTTTACATTTGTACAAATAAGCACAAGAAAAGAAGGTATGGTAAAAAACAAAATGTTACAGAAGTTCAGAGACGGAAGATATCACTTCTGGCCTCTGAGTTTCATAAATAAGTGACCTTTTGAATCAGATGTTAAAAGATGAGAAAGATTTTGCTAGGTAGAAATATGTATAAGTAAGACATTTCCTGCAAAGCAAGTGGCACAAAGCATAATAAAAATGGGAATGTTCAAGGACTGTTAAGGAGACAGAAACCAGATCAGTTAGGCAGAGCGTACTTCTTGGTATTAAGTCTGGGACCAGATACATAAGGCCTTGAAAGCCAAGATGGGAAGTTTCCTTTTATTTGGAATTAAATTAAAGAACATTTAAAATTCGGGAGGAAATGTGGATATATATAGATAGAATGATAAAAGAAATTGACAACATGTTAATGTTTAGGAAGTCTAGGTGAAGGTTATATAGGATATTTTTTGTAAAATTCTTGCAAGTTTTCTGTAAGTCTAAAATTGTTTCAAAAAGTTTCAAAAGCTACATTTGTTTTAAAATACAAAGCTTCAAGGAATACAGTAGCACCATGAGAGCAATGTTTTAGGATGGCTGCGCAGAGCACATTTTGTTGGTAGAAATTTGGAAAGCACCACATGGTTATTATGAGATCCTGGAGGTAAAGTCATTGTAGCCCCAACTAGGGTGAAGATGAAGAATAAGTAACATATGTGAGAAATGTAAGACAGGAAGAACCAATAGGGTTTGGGGACGTGTTTGATATATAATATGAAGGCAGAAAAATTTAAAAGGGCTGTGAAGAATCCCAGACAGATATGTTTATGGACTTTATGGTGATGATGGTTTCACAGATATAGATTTATTCCCAAACATATCAAATTGTACACATTATATTTGATACACTGAATTATATATATTGTAGGTAGCTTTTTACATGTCAATGGAATCTCAATAAACTCAATAAAGTGTTGTGGTTTTTTTTTTAAGACTACGATACATTCACACACCAAAACTGATTTTCAGGTAGGTGATTAAAATAATTGTAATAATCATGAAGAAAAGTAAAGGTCAAAGCAATTAATACATGTGACTTTATGTAAACTGAGTTTTAGGTGACTATGGGACATCTGAGTTGAACAGGAGGAATATAAAAACTTTATGGCACGGGTATTTATGGTATTAATGAGTACTTGCCAGAAACAGGGAAGTATTTTTAGAATAAAGAGAAGTGAGGACAGAACCTTGAAGACTGTCCATTTGATGGAGTAGAAGCACGGAAAGAAGTCAATGAACATGACTGTGGTACTCAATGTCCTAAAAGGCCCTCAAGAATTCCTGTCTCCTGGTTTTCACACCTTCCTGTCATCTCCTCCCTTTGCACGCAGACAGGACATAGTAGTGGCTTATTTCTAGTTGATAGAAACAGCAAAAATGAGAAAATCTCACTTCCAAGAATAGGTCATAAGAGATTGTGTCTTCCATTTTTCTGGTATTCACTCTCTCTGCCTCTTCTCACATTATTGTCATGATGGAGAGGGACACTTGGCAAAGAAAAGAGGGCAGCCTCCAGCCAGCAGCCAGAGGGGAACTGAGACCGCTGTCCAACAGGTCCTGTAGAATTCAATTATCCCAACAACCACATGAGTGAGCTTGG